TTTCTAAGTGGAGTGGAAATGATATCGGCATACCAAGGGGCAACTTTCACAACAGTGGCCGGCGTTATGTAGGTTAGAGAGTTTTTTGGCAGTGGAGAGCTGGCAGGTAGAGCTGTTATCTTTCAAGAATCAGATAAGGGAGGCCACTGGGTGTGTGTGGGTTCCGAGGTAGCAGGTTCTTCTAATGTTGCTTTTGTCGTCGCGCTCAGTTCAGCCGTGTGCTTCCCCTGCCGTGGGATGTGTGTCGGCCATTTTGGTCGTTTGCTGGGTTTCCGGATCGGGCTAACTGGTGTGATCCGTGAACTTAAGTCTGCTATTTTTGCCTCAAGTGACGATTTTTGAATTCACTCTTTCTTCGGCTCCTGACAATAGCTTCTCGTGCTTGGGTGTGATACACGTGATGCATTCCACAATCGGGATTTCCGCACATTCTGTACAGAACCATATACGTTTTGCCTGAGTGGCTAACTGTTTTGCCTGTTTCACCAAGAGTTTGGCACATGAAAGGTGAAAGTGTTTTAGGCAGTGTGTGTAGAATATCCCCGTTTGAACTTCTTTCTTACAACTCCGTAGGCCGCATACTTCCGATGCCGTCGAAACACTTGTTGTGGCACTTGTTGACACTAGGCGACGTCTCATTTTTGCACTTTATCTAGCGGTGAGACTGACGAGTGAGGGTGACAATACGATCGGTTATCGGGTAATGTACGCCCGGAAGGTCTTGGAATATATTGTGGGCTGATACTGAATAAGATTCGATACATCGGCTGCCAAATTCATCAAGCAGAGCCTTGATGGAGTGCGATAGAAACAACGTACAGTTGATGATCCGCAGTATGGAGATCTAAGTCCTGCTCCAGATGCCAGACTAATTTGCGAGAGATCAATGCAATAATTTTGTAAAGAAAACATTGTGCCTTGTGTGTGTGTGACCGACTGCGTAGTCTGAAACGGTTTGAGTTTGGGTGTTGCAATCGAAAACCGTTGAAGTTATCCAACTAAAGGTGAGAGATTCACATCCATAAAAGGAACGTCTGCGATCTAACTCTGGATCGGTATTCGGAACTGAATGAGAGAGAATTGACACATTCATTGAGCAATAAAGGCATTTAGGCAGGTTCAAATTTAAATCACACATGGTGAGGAACGTCTTATTTCCGGTAAAATTTCGTCCAATTCTATAAAGTCAGAGGGATCAGAAATAGTCAGTAAACAGTGCAACTTCGTTGATGTCCTTAAAGACCGCATACAGTGAGTTCATGGAAAGATCAATGTTTCAAATGGAAAATAGAAAAGGGGAAAATCCAACGTTCGTCAGTACAACATAGTTCTTGATATGGTTTAGGAAATTTGGGTTCTGCCTTGGTTTGTTGCAGTCCATCGTAAAAGAAATCAGATGGCCATGAATGAACTAGTGGTGGACAGCTGCAGGTTTTACAAAATGTTCCCATTGGGGTACATAATCAAAAATTATTGAATGCGGAACATTGCGGACAGATGATACAAATTTGTCCGAGGATTTAGTACTGAAGTGGATTAGAAAAATAAAAGTGCCAAGTAATTTTGCACTAACTGAAAAAGATCAGGCGATATTTTGATATGTACTTGAATATTGTTAAAAACGTTTTTAATGGTAACTTTTTCGTTTCAATTAGATCCGAATTCCTTTTTTGTTCCGTCTATGGAAAGACAGTGAAAACTTCGTTTCACTTTCCCACTTTTCTCTTCTCCTCTCTGTACCGTCAGATTCAAAAAAACAAATGGAGATACTTTCTGAAATTCTGGAATGTTTTGGATATTATTGTGATCATTTGTTGCATATTTTGTATCGCTCTGACCATCTATTGTCTCGTGACGGCGAACAACGTGATTGACAGTCTGATATCGGATTTGAATTCGCATCCACGTTTTGATATGCTGAGCTATTGGTACGGACATTATGTACGCGCGGTGTCCATGTGTGTGTTTCTTGCCGTTCTGAAGGTGAGTTGATGGAATTCGTAGATCCCCTGCAGACTGGTGTTAACCTGTTCACTTGAGTTCATTGATGGCTGAACTCTGTGCAACGGGATTGTTTCAACAACCTTTAAACGGCTGCATAGCCCTCCTGGAGGAGTTACCTATTCAGGTCGCATTAACACGATGGCAATCCCGAGGGTTCTGATTTCAGTCCAGCACTCTTAACTCTAAAAGGAATAAATATATACTCGATTAGAGAACTTCCTGGCGCATCCTTGAGACCTTTGTCTCACTCTCGAAGGAATTGGGATACTTTGGATGCCCATGTCCAGTTTGTTTTTGAAAGCACCAAAAGTTAATTTCCCGCGAAGCGATATGATGACCACGAGGAAACATGAAGAAAACTGACGGACATATGAGACCCGGACGGAATTTCAGATAATTCTCTCTGAGTAGCTCTAATGAGAGCAAAATTTGTTTCGCTGCTTATAGAATGTGTGCGGTTGACCGAATGAACATTGGGGATTCCGTGCGCGGATGAATTCCGAGGGACTGGCGGTCCAAATCATCAGGCTGGAGTGAAAGACTATATTCGGAGATCAGTAGTGTATCAGACAAGACGGTTGATTAGATCCGGTTAATGACAACCAGCGTTCTCTTCAAATCACGACCCGGTTGGGACAAGAGATGAACCACCATTGGTTGACAACATTCCACTCAATGCTAGTTTTACTACCGTTATTTGTTCCATACACCATCTGATCTGTTTCATATCACCCCAGACTTATAGGACACGTTTTCATTCATCATGAAAGGAAGTTGAGAGAAAATTTCCCATTAACCGATAAGAAACACAGAATTTGGCAAACGAACTTATTTGTAGCGCTCCATCTACTTAGTTCGTACAGCAAGGAATCAATCGCTTTAGACCACCGAGGGTGTTTTGTTAGGCAAACCTGAAGTGGGAGTTTAGGGACCGGTAGTAGCAGAACAGATGGATCCATGGAGCCCGTAAATGCTAGAAGCTGGAGTAAGTGGCACACCGTCGCCACGTCCTGTGAACCGACCTGACCAACAGGAGAAAAACAGCTACATCAAGGTAATGTGACTGATGTGCACGATGTGCATGCGCGTGCACACTCCCGCATGCAAGTGAATAATTGGTTGATAGTTAACGAAGACAGTCCACGTCATTTGATTGGTCATGAACACACAAAGACCAATGATTTATTAGAACCAAGTGAACTGAGCGTATTAATTTCTTTTTGAGTGTGACACATTGGCTACCGGAAATTTCGGTCTCAGTTTGTTCTCCCAATGAGTCCTACCGGTGGTATGCTCCAATAGATATGCGGCTTTTTGATCGGAACGTCGTAGCCCTACTTCGTGTATCACTGCTTGCCTACCTACCTGTGATGTGAACAACTGACCTCGGTTTATACTTGTCCAACATATCATGCGTTTCAGGTGTTCAAATATGTCAACTTTGATCGTTCATTGGGTCAATTGACAAGGACCTTGGCGATAGCGTTCTACGACTTGGTCGGATTCATGATCATGTTCTGCATCGTTTATTTCGCTTTCGCCCAGTTCAGTTATTTGGCTTTCGGCTCCTCAACCGATGGGTTTCAATCTTTCACCCAGGCCTGGTGAGTTATCTGCACTTGAATGTTCCGAGACCAATCCATTAATTACATAATTTGGTCCGTCTGAATGCGAATCATTGTATCCATAACTATATAAATGTTAGTTTGAGATTATTCAGCGTATGTTTGTGTTAGCACACTGGAAGTCGTTAAGAAGCTGATTATTTCGATGGACAGTGTCCAAAGGAGTGCCAAAGAACTTGCTATTGACAGATTAGGCAGTGGATCCTCTTGTATATTGTTCTTGAAACTAATTAAGGAAGGAAAAGAACTACTGTATTATTCTTAACCAAGCTTTTCCCGTGATAAACTTGAAAATAGAAGCCAATGTAGCAACAATACATGTTTTAGTAATATGTAGGGATGTAGTAGTAGTAGTAGTAGTAGTAGTAGTAATATGTGCTCCCTCTCCAATTAGGATCATATTCTTCAGAAGTACCATTTCGTTGCAAGAACCTAGCTAGGGAAGGTAATGCCGCTCATCCATATAGCAGCAGATATGTGTGAGGAGCGTCTGTCAGTTGGGTGTGGACATCGTATTGGCAATCTACCTATCTTCATCCTCCAAACATCGTAGTATCGGACCATCGGTCATGAATACACAAACACCAGATTCTGGTCGAAGCTAGGACTGAGTAAATGATTCGAATGGATATTAACATTTGTCATTTGTGTATTGGCCGTTGATTTTACCAATTGTGTTACAAGATTTTGATTGAGAAAACATGTTTTCTCGTTGTTGCAAGACAGTATATAGTTTTTCGTGAAGTTTCGCTTGATGCTTTTACTTATTGACATATCAACCAAGCGTTTAAAAACGGATCGATGGAAAACGCCTGAAGGAGATTAGCCTATGTGAAATTTTAAAAACCATGGTAGTTTTGTCAGTCGTTTAGGTCAACTGCAAAGAATGCTCCCGATAAACAGAACAACAAAAATGGCGCACTTCATGTTTTACCGCTTTATTGATGGCCTTCCGTCACTCACCCCCGGTTTCTGTTTACAGCTATTCGCTGTTCCGTATCATGGTCGGTGATATCAACTTCCCCGCACTACGCAAAGCCCAATTCTTCTTGGGTCCGACATTTTTTGTGCTGTACATCTTTTTCGCCGTGTTCGTTCTGCTCAACATGTTTCTGGCTATCATCAACGACGCCTATTCGGCCGTGAAAGAGGACCTGGTGAAACAACGAACGCAACTCAAATTGGGATCTATGGTGAAGAAGGTATGATCCCCATTGACTGCGTGTTATATTAATCAAACGATTGACTGACGAAGCTGACCTAGTTCAAAGGGGAAGTGATACAAGCATGTTAGGAGTCAGTTTTCTCATCGCCCAAACAAAGCCCAAAATTTTTTCAATTTAATTCTGACAAATATAACTACTGAGCCCCGGTGCATTAACAAAGATTTGCAGTGAAAATCCTAAATGATTCACTGTTAAGAGTTTCATCAGTTAGTTTATAACGACCTTACAAACCTCAATAATGTTACACTTTCAGTTTGCTTAACCAACATTCTTACACATCCGTCGCCCGACAGTTATTGTTGTCTTTTGATATTTAATAAAGAAGTAAATGACAGTTAAAAAACAGGTTGTGCTATCACAGCCAGGATAGAAAATGAGGTGATTAGTTTGTCAAGGGAATACAAACGAGTCACTCACTGTTGAAGAAAATCAGACAAACCATCGCAGTGTTGTCAGTTATCAGTTTGCCCCGAGACTCCATTCAGGAGTTCAAACGCGGTATATATGACCAAATCCAGTGATAAAACTTTGACACCAGTACTGATAATTTCTATATAATTACATGTCCTAGTGATTATAAGTGAGCAATTGATTAAACACACAACCATTGGCATAAATGCTTCGTCTAAACTTTGAATTGATTTTCCACTTATCTTACCAGACAAGATCAATGCAGCGTACAAAGTGCTGTTCACATAATGATAGGCATCGTTTATCTTACATTCACAATGGCCATTTATCAATACTGGGTGCCTGACAATTCACACATAGACGGGCAGATGTCACACAATACCAACGATGTTAACAAACGGCAAATTAGTTTTCTGTGACGACCAATTTGTCCACTTGAGGAGATATCGTTGCCTTAGAGCCGAAATTTGTCTGCATTATTAACTNAGAATCCGTCAACCGCATTTTCAGAGTTTGAAAGTGCTACGCGCCTTGAAAGTATAGCCACACAGGGAGCCAGGAGCTTTCGGCGATGAATCATGAAACAGACTGTCAACCTTAATCATATATGAAACCAATCGACGGATTGAAAATGTAAATGATCAAAGCTATAGTTATGTGAATGGGAGCGGCCAAGTATATCTTTATTTATTTGATTAGTTTGGAGGGAACTGATAGAAGTGATCATGTGTGAGATTCTTTGGCCTTGAAAGCAAGTCATTATTTAGTGTTCTTACAAATTGGTATTCCGTCGATTAGTCTTGACCCATATTTCCCTTCATCGAGTATACAAGAAGATCACATCGTTGTTTGTTGTGAGAAATAATAATCAAATTCCCATCCATCCCGTTCCATGTTATAGAGAGCTAAGGAAATGTTGAAAAAATTGAGGAAGAAGTCGAAGAAATCGCTGGTACAGATATTACATGAATGTAACATGTTTGACAGAGAGATAATCCCGTTTGAAGAATTTCGACGCGTGTTGAAGAAGTGAGTTCAATCTGATTATGTATCCCGTGACTAATTCTTGTATCCAGAAGTTTGCTCATTATGGCAATTGGTTTGATTTTCGTTGCCCAGAACGTGAAATTGGAATGTTAGTTTTGGTTACTGTCCATCATAAGTTGAGAAAGAGAAAACCAGCGACATAATGTAAATGGAGGCTTCATGTTAGACAATGAAAGAGAGTATTTTGGGGATGAAGTTGCACTCTGTTACATTACACGCCCCCTAAACTGATTCTAAAAACCTAGCAGTCTTTGACTAAAATACCTTTCAGCCATAAGACGAGCGGACTGTTGATGACCATTTGCAAATAACTATCCTCTTCGGAGTACTGCTGTGACAAGGAAGTGAAAAGGGGAACACATCATCTGATCATAAACGATCCTGATGGCCGAATACCTTATTCAGCACCCGCTAACGAGTAGACATTCCTTATTTGGATAATACTAAAAATGCATGCGGATTCAATGGTTGCCTTTCTGAATCCTCTGTTTTTTTTCAGATGTGTGATAAACGCAATCGCAAACAAGTGGAGGCTCATTCGAATTTAGTTCTACCTTTACACGATCAACTCCTTTTTTCTATTTACCGAGCACACAGATGAACGGTAAGATTCCAGGTAGAGGGTTGCAGCCAAACAAAGGCTTTTCGGGGAAATGCAATAAATACGACAACTTTGACCATTTGACCACCGCCGTCTCAGGGATATCTCTGATCCCAGTCGCCGATGCAAGATGATTCGATTACAGTTCAGGGCAGAATTCTATTTACCTAATATTTCAGTTTCGTGTACAGTACACAGCTGACAGACCTAAGCGCTCAGTGTCACCTTCGATTGTGTAGATCCAATTCTTTCATTNTCTTTCATTGGTCAGCGTGGTGACAGACAGAGAGCTGAGGCAAGGCAAATTTTCGGCAGTTCAGTGTAGATCCATTCGAAGCTGGAAAGTGTGCATATTTTCTTTAATTATACAACCTAGGCTTCCATATTCACTGGAAATACAGACCTAGTATCTGACTTCTATTATACAACGTAGACTCAAGTGGTGGCTTTCGGCATTTCTACGTCCTCGGTTCCAACTGGCTATGTTTCGCAACCGTGTGTGAGAACGGAGGCTGTGGTTTATTTCGCGCTGGTTCCACAACTATTTTTGTAGCTGTCGAAAAGCCATTCTGCCACTGTTGATACCAATGTCAATCTCATCCTTCATCTGCCAGCTCAGTATATGATGATTCCAAAGTATTTGAAAACGGGCTAGTTTTCTATAGCTTTCCTATCGACTAAGATGGGTTTTACTGGGGTACCGACAGCGGTTGGAAGAATCTTCGTTTTGGAGTTATGGTTATCTCTACACCTGCTATTTTGGCGAAAAGTTCTACCTGATTAACTACCCATTGTAAGTTCGCGAGGGTATTACCCGGTACTACAATATGGATTGCAAACTCAAGGTTGGCGATAGGTGGATCTGGATTAAGTTTCACCCCACGATAGTCTTTGGGGACCCGTCCCATTACCCAGTTGATGCAATAGTTGAATAATACTGGTAAATACGGTCATCCCAGTTCAGTTGGACTTCGATCCATTCCTCCCCATAAGTTTGAACTTATGCATAGGTCGATGAGCAGTACATTAGATGATTGATGGTCTTCTCTCGAGTCGTCTCGCAGTACAGAGCGTAGAGAATTTCCGGTCACACTATTGGAGGCGGAGCAAAAGTCAATAAAGCAAGTAGTGGTCCTCTTGTAGAATTTTCGACTGAGTTCCTGAATCCTATGAAAATTTGATGCACATAACCTATTCGGTCAAGGAAGCCATCCCAATTTGGCCCGGTGTGGGAATCTCTGACCATACGAAGCAACTCAGTGGAATCCGTGCAGAGTTTCGCTGCACCATCGAACAAGTTGATCATCCTGTAATTTCTGCCGGCTGGTCTATCCTACTTTAACGAAAGGAATCACAGTAGAAATAAGCCAAACCTTTGGAAATAACTCAGTTTCTGATATTATGCGAGATAGTGATTTCAGTGGGTCAATTAGTGCCAACCAACTGGGTTTGAAAATTTTATCGGAGACTGGGTGTTCCAAAGTATCACGGCTGAGCGTAATGGTGCGCACGCGCAGACAGCAACTTTATCTGACTACATTAGTGAGCAATTGGTCAAAATTTTCGATCAACCTTTCGTAATTTTACTCTTTTCTATGGACGCGTGAGCCTCCTGCGATGCATAGACGCAACTGAGAGGATTTTCTCTAGTCTGCGGCAATGAGGATAAGATGGAACAGTTTTAGAAGATTGGTAGCTTCCTTGTTGTCCGCTATTACTTTTCAGGAACGTTTTTGATCGTTCCAATTAAAGAGTGACTTCTCTTTGTAGGTCGAGGAAATCTGGGCCTGATGGAGACGAGCAATTCTTATTGGAGTAGGGATTTGCGAGGTTTTTCCATTTTCACTCGTTCATGCTCGGAAGTCACCAACGGATAACACCAGGCGGGATCGCGTTAGGATATGGTTGATATAATGTGCTTTTCTACCGTTGTTAGAATCTTCTGTCAAAAGGTGTTTCCTTCAATGTACGAACTGTGGGGTAGGGACAACCATCTGACTGAATACTGCGTATGTCATCAGACGTTCCCCGATGGCACATATACCATGAAAGCCGAATTTCCTTTTGTCTGGGTGTCCAGTGGTGTGGCACGTGCATGTTGATCGCCGACGATGATTAGGATGTCACAATTTGCGATTCTATCAACCGTATCTTTCAGTCGGTTGTAAAACTCATCTTTGACAGAATTTTTTGCCTTAAGAATCGATGGAAATAGATGGAGATCATCGGCGTGCTTTTGCGTATTCCTCTGAAGCTTGCGTTGCCGATTCTGAGAGTACTGGATTCAGAGCCCTCTGCGCACTTCCCCAACTCGAAAGCTACACCACCATGAAACGGAATGGTAGAGCCAGTAGACCACGAACCATGGGACGAGATCTTCGTTGCAAACACTAATGTGCCGCAATTTCTTTGATACAGTCTGAACTGAAACAAGCAATATTAATAATAACGATAATCCGTTTCGGGTAGTTGGATTCGTTTCGATCCGAAATTGAGCAGTCCTAATTCGGATATGCAAACAACTTCCACACTGTAATTGTCCAATGTGTGCATCTTGATGCACTGGCTCCTGAACTCTATGGGAGTCAAGACATTCCAAGCGATGTGAATAATTGGTAGGAGACCAATCCTTTTATCCGCAACCTGAAAAGGCATTCGTTAGCATGCAGTTCCACTGGCAGTAGGCTTTTGCCGGATTATATCAGCCAATTTCTCGACCATACGCCGTGACATTAGAATGGAATGTGTATAGCCCACAATTACCTCAAGCAGAGAATAAGCATTTGACGATTTATACTTGAGAGTAAGATGATGAAAGATGGATATATCACCGTTCTGCAACAGTAGGACTATTGTCTGCTCAAAGCAAATATCGTTTTCAAAAACTTCATCAGTAACATGCTGTCCCCGACGTAACGGAAATTTTTGTAGTTTTCGGAATTGTATAGCGCGAACTCAGACTGAAAACTCTCTGAATAACACCGAATCCGGCAAATCCAAGACGATCTGTGGGTCGGTTTCAGTTTCAATTTGTACAACCATTCACCATGCATTTTTGTGCGATGGTTTTGGACGTTACCTTTTGCCTTCCCATTGGGACGAGGACTTGGGAGGATTGAGATGTTGAATGCAGTGTAAAAAAATGAGAAATTGCAGTACTCTAAGGTTGCAAAGAAACTGAGATGCAAAAACACCACTGTTCACAACATTCAGCCATCATCATTCATTGTCTCTAACCATGGATTGGAATGATCCTTAGATCCCTATTGAGGGAGCCTAACGTGACCTATATGACCGATTCTCCTGGTTAGGGTTTTCATAATCTCGTGCTAGGTTTAAGTTTGACCACCCTCCATTATTTCCATCCACTGCCTGCCTCGGCAAGCGTCGCGCGCCGTGGAAACCTGTTTGGTGACATACGTAACACATGCCCCCAACCAATGTAATCAATGGAGGTCGAGCGGTGGTACAGTTTATTCTATTAAGAAAATGATGCAAATAAATATCACAAGCGTCAAACAATCATCTTCTCGGTCTCCATGTCTGATCGACAACGGTATGGCCCATTTTGGTTGCCTTCTTGCATCTAACCAATCCGATTAACTTTACTTGAGACCAAAAGAGTGGTCGGAAACCCAGTCTCCAAATTGACCACCTGGAAGCGGTTTCGTGGTGTGTTTGTGTGCACTCGTGCACGAGTAGCACCATTTTGCACTAGGTAAATTATTTCTAGTTATGCATCATTTTACTATCAGAATAATGACAACCGTTGCTATTTTATCTCCCCTGCGTATTTCAGTCGATTCTATGGTTAGAACATGTATTCACGCTTGTGCTCACTTTTCTCTCTTTTCTTAGTTCTATCCTGATTGCCAAGACGATATAAAATTCAGCTTGTTTTCAACAATCATTTTAAATGCATGCTCTCCCTTTTCCATTCATCCCAAATGTAGATATGGGTTCGGTGAGGCAGAGATCACATCGACCTTCGTGAAGTATGATCGTGACGGAGACAATTGTTTGAATGTGAAAGAACAACGCCGTATGGAGGATGAAATGGAGATTGGGGTGAGTTATCGTCTCCGATTGGCCAGTGTTTCGAATACTGAGTTCCGTGCATCGTTTCCGGTAGCTAGCGTTTAGATAGGTCCGATAATATTTGTTCCCACATCTATTAATTGTCCATAAAAGCTATCACTGAAATATTACTGATGATACAAACTGAAAAAAAATCATAGCAATCAATGAGGATACGATTGCATTCTTGAATTCTGGATAGGATAGGAGTGAGATCGGAACATAGGAACACAAGTTTGTTCACTCACATCCTAAAAGGAAGTCATGGTGACTGAAAACAATGTGAAAATATTTAGGCAGTTCCTGATGCCTTGCGGTTTAATAACTTCAATGAGAGTAGTAATCAACCGCAGTGATTAACACTTTTAGTTATAGGACGTTTACTAAGCAAATCTACATCTTAACTGAAATGTAAGCATATGTACTTACACAAGTTATACAAATACAAATCTTGTTAGGAGTACATCGTAATTGTCAAGCAAAGCACAAAACGTTTTCAACATTTTACCTACGGCTTTCTAATGTTCGACAACTGATCGATTAATTACTTGCCATTCAAAAGCTCTTGACCCATTCCACCCATTAACCAGTCATCATAGATTAGTATAAATGAAATAGTTCGGTTTGTTTCAATAGACCAACCGCCAGGTACCGTCATAAACTACCACAGCAGGGAGCGAATGCATCCCCGACACCACTTGCGAAACAAAGGAAGTTTGGCGACAATAACCGGAATTAAAAAGCGAATTAAATACAATGTTCGTTGGTCCATATTTGGCAAACAGATTTAAAATTGTTGTGTCAGTCCAATGTCTAGTTTGGCATCGCCAAATGCTTTTTTTCTTTACTTCCGAACTAAAGAACCTAATCATTGTTTATGATGCCATTTGAACACTATGGACTTCATTATTTTCATGCAAGCTGACAATGCGGTCAGGGGGTTCTAGCAGATACAGCTTTATTTGGTCATGAATAAAAAACCAACTTATTTGTCCCGTGTAACTGCTACTCATTTGAAGCGAACTGCATTCCTACCGTTCATTTAACCTGACGTTGTTCTTCACCAAACTATTTTGTTTTGACTTAATTCATTTGTTCCAAGGTACGGAAATCGATGAAGAATGTGGACGAAGATGAAGGTCATGGGACCGATGAAGAGGGCGCTGAGAACGATGAGGAATTGGATGTGAGTCACACACTCTATACGCTATAGATCAGACAGTAAGAAAAAATACCAGGTCGAAAAAATCATGCTCGTACTGGGTAGATAAAATCAACCATAAAAGCCATATCCAACACTGAATCGAGAAAAATAAAGTGGAAAACTCTAATGACCACAACTTTGTGGTTCAACTGGGATGTAGATATTCAGGCGGTTTATATTGCTCGCACTGAAATGCCCAGACCGTAACGGTAGAGGTCTCAACCCCTTCATCATCACTCAGCTTCATTGTTATTGGGGTCAACACCACAACTGTTCTTTTCTGAAGGGACTTTATGTAATTCACTACTCCAAGCCCTAACATTCCGATCGCCTGTTCCCATAGCCGAACGGTAGGTTTTCGTGGCCTTAGAGATATTAATCTAATGAATCGCACGCCACCGTACAGATTATCCTGAGGAACAAGGCTGTGATCAAATCAAGGCTGTCCGGAGGAAATAAGAAGTACTCAAAACAGGTGAGATTTGAACCCACGAACCTTGGGCAGCTGCTTTTTATTACACTTTCGTGTGATGAACAGCTGACGGAATAAACCCCATAGTCACGAGAACCTGCTATTCTGTGATGGAAACTGGTAACCTAAGCCCCGGGACTTGGAGTGGTGAACCACATAAAGCTCTGATAGGTTAGACGTGGTGTTGAACCGGACGACAGCACAGCTACCTACCACCAAAGTTGGGTGGCGGGGCTCGAACCTCGGGTCATAGGTTCAAAAGCACGCCTGTGGTAGCGAATAAATGACTGCGCCACCACCACCCTTGTGTTGAACACCGCTGTCCATCACTCATATCGCTCATTACATGAATTTGATTCAAATAGATAAAGAGCCGTAGGCAAGAACTGAGTTAATCGGGCAGTGGATGCATAAAGTAGAAAAACCTGTGTTGCACATTCTTCAAGATGCAATAGGAGTAAAACACGGTGCAGCCGACTGGGTGAAGTCACATTTAACCAAGAATTGCAGGGATAAAAGGTATGCATAAAGAATACTTGTTACAGAATTTTACAACCAGGTGTATAACCAGCCGGCCGGTCAGGCTTCCATAGGACACATGTTGCGGGTAAACGACGGACTACGTACAATCCTGGCGAAAAGCATTGACATGATGACAATCAATATTTTTTAGGTATGCCAAAGGAGCTATCTCCCCTTCAGCAACATTCGACTCAGTTGAATACTAGGAGCTAAGTAACACCCATACCCAACCAACGATTCCTGTCAACTCCAAGACGAAAACTGACCGATCTCTCTTATGCGGAAAGCAGACAATGGATGTGATCAAGAGGATTTCCAAAACTTCAGATAACCCTTGAGTTTGATCCGTCTTAGAGAGACCGTCGGCAAGTTGCACGCGCATAGCACACGTTACGAAACCCACTACTGATGAAGACCAGCCGAACTATTTCACTTTTTAGTTCGTCCACTTCTGTCTGGCGCATGGATTGGCAGTACTCATTAAGCGGAAATGAATGCAGCAATGTCAAATAGCTCCAGCCTCCGCCATCTCCCTATTTTTATTTGTGTTTATATATATTGTGTAAGCTTATATGCTTACATATTAGTTACAAATGTACAGAATTCGTCACGCGGAATAAAATATATAGTCTCATATAAGATACAACGTAAAGAATGTCGCTGAAGTTTGTTTCATGTTCAGAAGCTCTGACGTACTTCATTTGCGACCTGTTACTTTTTGGTTAGGAGTCGGGCCAGGTAGGGTACAGCGGAATTTTTATAAAGATTAATGCGACAGGAGAGATGCCGAAAAGAGGAGCGTGTGGACGGATGGGAGCGACAAGATGATAGATCAGGATGCAGTGGGTGAAGAGGGTCGTCTAGAACCTTATTGGCAAATTTAACGCAAGAGTTGATGTGACCATTACTGAGTTCTGTGATCAATGAATCGATCGGGATTTATGATGCATGACTGATTATCGTCAAACTGCAACGAACTGTTTTGAAGTCTTATGTTAAAAGGTCGGAAAACACTACAAGGGAGCAATAGAGTAGACTGGCTTAAACGCATTGGTGAACGAAAGAGGACAGGACTGGCTATGGGGTTCGGAATTGTCTGAGTTTGCGTAACTGAAAAGACAGGCGTCCCAGCTTTCCCACACAATTGTAATTGTGTGCGGATTAATGAAGATTGCTGTTGATAGTGACACCCAGGTAATTGACTGATGTCATTCTGGACACAGGTTTACAGGTAAGGGTAGCAGATACACTTAGATATGTAAAGACTGATACCGGATTGATTGGAAAACTGTTGGATGTGGAATAGATTTTGAGTAAAAGAATCGAATTCCGAAGGTGAAATTTTCTGACAAAACGCCATTACCATACTTTCGGATGTTCCCAGGGGTCGGCCCGAAGGATCACTCATAAAAACAGAAAAAATATACGGAGATAGAACAGCACCTTGAAGAACACCAGAATTATTAACAAGAGGTTTTGATGTCATTTTTCCTTATTTGATGCACTGGACCCTCTCTGTGAAGTAGTCAGAAAGCTATGAGAGCAGCTGTCTCGGAGTGCCCAAAGGTTCCACTTTGAAAAGGGGTTATCGAGAAACAAAATCAAACGCGGACGAATAATCAAGGAAAATACAGCGGAGAGACTTAGCCGAGCTGTTCAATGATTTACTGATACGGCGTGCAAGGTAGATCTGTTGGATATATATGCAAACTGGAGGGAACTGGAGGGAGTCGCAAGGTATTGTGGTAATTGACTACAAACGACTCAGGACGGCCTTTTCAAACAACTTTAGAACCGCTGGGGTTAGCGCGATAGGACGAGATCGTTTCGTGAAAACAATTGAGGACGAGGATATTTTGCGACTTGCGGTTTCTCGCGAACATGCCTCCGGTTCTGGGTCAGCATGTCACAGATTTGTGAGCAATATCAGGTCTGCCATTCAAAGGAGTGACTGTGTACATCGAACAACGCACCTGTTTGCATCATCGCATTGACAGATACTTCGATGTTATTCAGTGTTAGATTTCAAGGTTTGTTGAGTGTTTGTCAGGTTCAAATGGTGGGCTTTTAGACTTGATTGGCGTGTAGAAACTCATGGGCGAATTCCCCTCGTGAATAGCAGTAATCACACAGATTGTGCTTTTAAATATCGAAAATTTGCAGTAATCGACTCTTTGGATAATGAGGAAGTTCAATTAGGCCTGAAGTAAATCAGCTAGAACGATAATCAACACATCTCGTCAGCACTCTCGATTCTTATCGTTCCCGATAGTCATGGCACTTCACCCGACATTTGAGGATACTGTCTGAGAAACTTGTCGTTCGCGTCCTACAGGACCTGTGTCAAGTGAACGTTATACTCAACCATAACAACATTGCTACAAGTATTGCCTATTTTTCTCAAGGTATTAACCGCAAAAATTATCTACCGAATTCGTGCGTCGGGTTATGCGTCACCTCGAGTTTCGGAAGTATCATAAACCTGGCTAAAACTCTATCTATATCACCGTTAACCGGTAATTAACGCAATGAGGATATGTTGTCATTCTTGACCCATTTACTCCTTTCTTTCCCTTTTATACACCATCACCAAAACAGTATGTGGATCCAATGGACTACAAAGAAATGGTTGCGCGAGTGAACGCAGTGGAAGCCTCGTTACTGACCATGTTATCCCATTCCGATGAGTTGTTAGCCATGTTGGAACAAGTGGAACATGCCAAACGGGAACATCGTCAGCGTTTATTTGAAATGTTGAACTCTGAGGTAACACTTTTCTAAATTGACCAATTAAGACTAACTAAAACGTAGCAGTCACCTTCATATCTAAGATAGAATTAGGAGAATCCCTTGTAATATAATCTTATCGATTTGCACAACAGTTAGTCTATCTATTAAATGGGACCATACAACGTTCTATTCACCATAAAGAAATATGGAGTGGTCGTTATCTACAATTCTCCAGCTTTTCACCCATGGCTTACAAACGCGGACTCGTAAAAACTTTATTCCATCGAGCTAGAAATATATGTTCCCCAGACACGTTCCTACAAAACGGTTACCCCGAAAGAATCATTGGTATTCATAGGAAACAATCTCAAAAAGGTAACATCTTCAATTGTTCCTCAAAATGCCGTCTATATCAGGGGCGATCACCCTCTGAACGATGTGCAGCAGAAGTTAAAGCCGTCGCTGAATCGCATATTCCAGCAGCTAAACTCTACTCGTAAAATGGATTCCGACAAACGCATAAACAGTTGGCGAACCAGTTCTATCTCAGACTGTACACCAGTTCGTCTGCAGTTGTGGTGACATATAGGCAAGACCAACCGTCAAATATCACAACGAATGGCCGAACACATTACACAGTGGTTGGTGAAGTTGATGACGCAACCCACGCCCGATAACCAGGTGGCCACACGGAACCCGAGGGTCATTAATCGTAAAACAGTTCATGAAAACCAAACTTAGTTGATCCCGCTCACTCTTTCACACCTTTGTTACGTAACTGCAACGAAAGCTTGTTGACAATGAGTGAGGCCCTATCAATCAGGTTAAATCTTTCCGTTTTGTGTACCCAAAAGTTGTTGGCGCAATTAGTTCACTTGTTGTGGAGTTGAGCGAAATGATCATTTTCCCGGTCGGTCATAACATTTTAAGCGGATAGGAAGACTCAGTCACGAAGCGTACATCTCACATTCTTAAGTGAACATGCAAAATATTGATGGTATTGGTCACGGGAAGAATATCGAGTAGATAATCTGGCAAGTATTGCATGCTTGGCTGAACAGGCGTTGATTAGCCCTTATGAACAGAAATGAAGGTAGGGTAGAGAAAATCAGCATAACGGACAGCAATCACAGCCATAACGTGAACACATGAAAGGCGGAGTGAACTCAAAGTGACAGAACCCTTCACTATTCTGAAATATTAGTCAATGGAATATCCGGAGTGAATTATTCTTATTTTAGATTGCGTATTTCACATTGCTTAGTCCAGACGGCTTCACGGATTGTCATCCATTTATTTTATTGCAGGAATTCAAATCCGTCGGAGGGAACAACAATTTGTGACAGCATTCGTATTGCCCAACTTGGACGATTCGAATCACGCATCAGATGCCCCTCGTTCAATGTCTGCACGTGATATTTATTGCCTTGCACTGTCCCTCTGTTAAATGTGCTTAAAAAACTAAAGAAAAAATCCCCACATTTCGCTCATCTATGCATAGTCAACTGCATCCACCCATCCACTATCACGTTCTACGAAATAAAGATTGTTTGCCATGTCATTGAAAGTACTCATTCTTAGTTTATGCAGACCTTGAGTAAAATAGCGATTAGTGAAATGCATTTTATCGTTTCCCAGCGTACAGAACTGATGGGTGATAGTACGGTCTACTGGTTATGCCATTACCACGACAAAGGCAGACTATATGTTCGAACACTACTGCCCACGCCGAATGGTACGAGTCTGCAGGGACAGACCAGCTCAGTCTTGGGTGTATGCGTCAAGTCGTACTGTGTGCATAAAGATGATAATGGTCAACTCGAGGCTTTCTGCAGCTGGCCTCACTATGCAGAGGAACGAGGCAGATAAGAGCAAAACGAAGCAACGCAGACTGCCATTTTATGACCAAAGCCATCCAGTGGACACCGGACTGAAGGTTAAGTCTGAATAAAGGAACAACAAGGACTGCAACAGTTCAAAGTTTTCCCTCTCGAATTGTTTGATAAGAACAAATAGACAATCTATACAGCACAGGAGTCGACGACAATAGCAACATAGTAAGCAAGTGAAGAAATTCAACTCAGCGACATATTTACTTCGTGGCTATCAGCTAAGGGGACCAGAGGTATTGTCAAAGTTGGCTGAGGTTGACATCCTGCAGTGGGCTTTTGCTGGGCGCTTAGAAACTTAGCTGTTGGGATGGAATCGCTTCCTAATTCCACTGTCTTGGGCAGAACCTGATACGCCTGACTAGCGTTCTCCACATCGTTGGGATTTCGATACGCTTCCCCTGCATCTGCCAGAAACATGGCCGCAACTTCATGGGGAAGCTGATCTAGTGGCAGACCAATGTACTCCTCACCAGTAGCTGGAACGGTGGTTTTATCTAGATCCGCGAAGTACGGATGCAGGAGCGCATCCCGCGCTGTGATCCGTCGTGAAGGTTCGTACACAAGCATTGCCTGGAAAAAATAAATCGCAGGACGAAATCAAAAAGCTGATTACAGTGTGCAACTAAAAAAGCTGCGGAATAAGCAACCACTGCATCTGCGACTGCTACACCGTCCATAGTATTACAAACAATAAGTACAATTACACTGTTCAAATTCAATGACATTTGTTGTCGTACCTACAGTTTTGCCAGCTCGATTATTATCGTAAAACGGATTTGATATAGAAGACATAAAAATTGCATATTTGTTTCAAGGTTATCTACAAAAAGATCGATAGAAAATAAATTAGTCTGTTTATTAAAAGTTGTTTGAGTGTATAGGGAAATCATGGTTCAAAGGGATGAACCCGGAATAAACAATGAAAAGCATCATAAAGCGATAGAAAAGTTGCAGTGTTTTCGTAGAATGTGTGCAGCACCGTTTAGGCAGTCTACTTGACCTTGTAAAAAGTATCCTTATGGCTTTTCAATTGCATGCAGTTATAAACTACAAATCCAGGTTACAGCGTGGGAACCACTAGCGCTATGCTTGCTCGCATTGCACACTTGCGAGTAAAAAAGACCAGCGTCACTTTCAAATAGGCTCTGCTCGCAAAGCGTACGATTGGACCGACGGGACACCAGCCATCGATGCATTGCGAACTTTGAACACCATGCAATTGTCCCGGAAGGTGAACTATTTCACCGAAGAATAGAAGGGGGCTGTCTGAAGACGACTACTTGGTCTGGTTTAGTAAACTACGAGACAAAAAACTAGCGACAATGACGGACGGAAGTCATAATCCCAACTTGAGATAAGAATAATTAAGTAGAATGGCTGATGTGGAACAGAATGTATCGCCTTTTTTTCACTGTTCTGTATCCCAATCCACCCCCTCCTGTTATTGTTATTATTGTGGCGTGTATATATATATATATATATATATATATATCCAATGGTTACCCGGTGTTGCAAACAAGGTTACTGTGACGAAAATACACTTCCTGGGTACAAGTATATGAATGAACTGACAAAAGATTACCGGATACGCATGCCTGACGAGCGGCAAGAACCGCGAAACCTGTTGTGTGCTTCCAGGGAAATTTTGTCCAGTCATCTACATACTACTTAGTATGAAATATATATTGAAAGGGAGAAGGCGAACACTGAGTGATATTATTTATTGTGACGTTTCAATCCAGACTAGGACTCGTTGTCAAATGATATTAGGTGTGAATGAATTGGGTCTGCTTGTGCCTCGCGCTGTGGTTTGCATCGGACCTGTTTGTCCATCAATCCCGGGTTCCTCATTGGTGGCACAATCGTTGCATAATGTTTATCGATTTCCACGTGTCGATTGAATGAGTTTATCGAAAGTAGTGCTTCAATGACCAGACGTTCCTCCTTCCTCTTTGCCCTTGCCACTACTTTTGCGTCATTGATTCTGACCTCGTGACCTCTTGTTGCGCAGTGGTTCCAGAGGTGTGACTTCGGGTCGGCGCGACGTAGTGCAAGTGTGTGTTCGTGTACGCGAGTGGGCAGTTGTTTGCCTGTCTCTCCCACGTAAAGTTGGTCACAGTCTAGGCACGGAACTGCATACACCACCTCTGATTGGTCGTCTGGTTCTACATAGTCCTTGCCGTTGAACAAAATTGACCGCAGCGTTGTTGTTGGTTTGTGGACAATGGTGACACCCAGAGGGCGAAGGACGCGGTCAACGGCTTCTGATACCCCACGTATATATGGTTATAAGAGTTTCGTTTACTTCTCTTCACCTTTCGGTTTTCTCCTTCCCCTAAGGCATGATTGGACGAAACGTTTGGGGCATCCGTTTTTGTGGAATTAAAGGGAACAGATGCATTCGTTCCTGATGCTGAAGTTCCCTTGTGCTACAATGTGTCCGCACGGCGGAATAAAGTATACACACAGCTCCTAAGGTGACACGTGGGGTGATTGCTGTCGTAGTTCAGCACCTGGTCTGTCGCTGTGGGTTTTCTTTACACAGTGGTTTCTGTGTTTCCGTCTGGTTTTCTTATGACGAGGACGTCCAAGAAGGAGAGCTTTACGTCGTTTTCCTCCTCGCGAACAAACGCTATCCCTGGAATAACCTTGTTTAGGGTATTATGGACTTGCTCAATTCTGGCCACTACCCACGGAAGTGGAGATCCGAAAGGAACTCTAAGCCCTGAAACGCCACAAGGAAGCTGGATCAGACGGCCTGCCACCTACCCTCTTTAAAGATGGTGGAGATGCTCTCGTAAGAGAATTTGTGAGACTGTTGTCGAAGATCTGGGAAACTGAAAGTGTACCCCACATATGGAGAGAATCGATTGTCACACCCATCTACAAGAAGGGCTGTCGCAACGCCTGCTCCAACCATTTCCAATAGCGCCGAAGATGCTAGCGTACGTTTTATTACGCAGGTTATGCCCATTCCGTGAGAAGAAAATCTGCGAGGAGCAGGCCGGGTTTCGTGCATGCCGTGGATACAGATCAAATCTTCACCCTCCGTCAGCTACTAGAACACCGCCACATATACAGACGACGAATCATTGTCGTGTTTTCAGACGTCAGAGCGGCTTTCGGCTCTATCGATCGCCCCGTACTATGAAACTGTTTGCGGAGATACGGAGTACCCGAGAAGTATGTCTCAATCCTACAAGAACTCTGTTATCAGACCTCGGGGAAGGTTAGGGCTTATGGTGAATTCTCACCCTCATTTCCTGTCACCAGTGGGGTGCGACAGGGTTACCCTATCTCTCCGCTTATCTTCAACTTTGCCATAGATGATGTCCTACAAAACGCGTTACATAACGTAACGAACGCTGGCATCGAGCTTCTTCCTGGGGACAGAGTCGTAGACTTAGAGTATGCCGATAATATTGCCTTAGTGGGTGACAATACATCAACGATTCAAGAGCCGTTGAACCGTATGACAATTGAGGTTACTCGTTATGGTATGTCATTTGCACCCTTAAAGTGTAAAGTGTTGTTGCAAGATTGGCATGAACCCGTTCCTGCACTTTCGTTGAGTAATGACACCCTGGAAGTAGTTGAAAGCTTTGCCCACCTTGGGAGTTGCATAACGTGTGGGTGAGGAGATTCCTCACGGCGTGATCAAAACTAGATTAGCGTTTGCTAATCTGCGGCATCTCTGGCGCCGGCGCGATATATCCCTTTCACTGAAAGGGCGTACGTATTGCGCAACGGTACGCACCGTGTTGCTCTATGGCTGCGAGACCTGGCCTCTCCGAGCAGATCACGTCCAACGACTATCAGTCCTCGATAACCGTTGTCTGCGCAACATCGCCCGCGTATGGTGGGAGCATCGCGTGAATAACAATGAAGTCAGACGATGGGTGCTAGGACCAGATAGTCTTCCTTTGGGCAAAATAATTTCACAGCATCGTCTTAGGTGGCTAGAGCACGTCCTACGAATGCCTGAGCACCATATGCCACACCGTGCACTACTCGCAGACATCGGTCCAGGCTGGAAGAAACAACGAGGTGGGCAGGCTATGACGTGACACAGAGGGTTAAGGAGATTGTGCTCGGGTCTGATTTACGTTGGGGTTTCTCGGCTCCCTGGCTAGGGGCCCCAAAGATTCGAATCGTCTTTGGCTGGAGACACTGCGGGATATGGCATCGAACCGAAGACAGTGGCGCGAATGCATCATCTCTTGTCTACAATCCCAAAAATAAATAAAAAACGCAGAAAAAAAACTCAAAAAGGCGTGCAGTGAACAAACAAAAAAATATTGTTACTCCTCGAAGTTGACTGTTTTATTTTCCCCGTTTTTGTACCTATATTTTTTCGTTCACCCATGGTTATTTTTGGCGCCGTATCTGTAAAGATTGGTGTAATAATAATAATAATAGGGCTCGGTCCCACAAGCGAAGCTTGTTGCTGAGTGCATCGCGAATCTAATTTGATCTCACTGTTGGTCTACTTCACCATTTCACGGTTCTCCTAGCTTCTGTCTCAAATGGGCGGGAAGAGCGAAGTGACTTTCTAGAGAAGCTTCGGATGCGCTCAGTTTTCCAACCTGTGCGATAAAATCATCTGCCAGCACTATACTATCAGAGCTCAGCCGAATGAGTTCGGCGAGCTTTTCGTAAAATTCGTCCTTTTGTTAAGCGAGACTGCAGTTGGTTCGTGCATATGCGGAAATGATGAACCAATACCTTTTGGGGTTTCTGACCTTCCGCAAACTAGCTGAACCCTGGAGTCTCGTTGCGCACAAACGGCTATCGACGGGTATCNATCAGCGAGGCTTCAGCTTCATCATTTAGTACAATTCCTGAACCACACTGACTCAGTGGTGTACGAAGTAAATACCTCGAGGACAGACCCGGCGCACTCATGTGGCTTACAATACTAGAATCCTGAATTCGTGTCTCCAATGCGCAACAGACATCGATTTCTAAAGACCTCATTGCGCGCGTAAGGCACGCTGGTAAACCCACCTGCATCAGTCTTCATGTTGAAGGCCCCCAGATTGAGAGGTTGACGAGGCTTCAAAATCTGTACTTTATTTCCAGGCAAACTATTTGCATTGCTAGTTGGTAACGACCTTTGGTGAATAGTGAACAAGTTGGCTTGTGGGATGTTACGGATCGGAAGGGATAAACGGAGAGTGAGCAAGTGAGCAAGACACAGAGTTAAACAAAGACTGAGATGTCCGTACACAAAACTGTCCATCCAACAGGAGCCCTGTTGGCTATCCGACCAAGCATTGGTTTGCTCTTAGCTGTCTACATGCTTCGATGGGCATTACAAACGCGGCAGTTAGACTGCACTCAACTGTTCCAATCATCTTGCTTTCTCCCTTCTCTCCATTTCTTCCTCAATGGTTGAACAAACGGTTACCAAAAAAAGCACAGAAGTGCTGTGCTAATAGTGATACAAACGGAACTGTGGATTTATCAAGGGTTAGGCGACTACTACGAAACAGCAACTAAAACCGGCACACGAAAGTGCATGGCTAATGGTTGTTCAAACTGAAACTGAACTGTTTGTGCTTGTC